ATTTACGTTAAGGAGGGAGGTGGAATCAAATTCGTAATCTGCCTTGCAAAACGATAAACTGATAGACGACAAAACTTGGAACTTCTCGTCTTGAATTTACTCATTTGGAACCTACCATGCCTTTCTTAATATTAATATTATATATATCTATATATATATATACATATATATTCTCATGAGAATGATAACCCAATATTATATATATACACACACACCCAAATGTTTCACGAATATATATATATACACACGCACGCACACACACATGTATAGTTAATATTATATTACAATAAAGAACTTACACGTTAATTGGTATATATATATATATACACACACACATACGTTTATAATCTGATTGAATTCTGACTTAAATCCCGGTGATTCATACACATGGACGTATGCGTGTGGGAGTTTTATATATATATATATATATATGTATACATATATCCTTATGTTGTTTGGCATTTGCTTTACGTTGAATTTGTTTTGTGACACCTGGAGTTGACTAATTATGCTCTCTCTTTTCTTTCGGGTTAAGAAAATCCGAATCCTAAATTTCTAATTGTTATAGATGCATCACTTTTCTTTCATAATTACGTATGTGTACATACATACATACATACACACACACGATTAATTATAATATATGTTGTGTGATTTAATTCATCAATAAATCAACGAAATCTAATTTTTCTGCCTTGTTAATTTATTGTTCCAATTTTACAATAAAAAATATACGTAATTTTTGAATTTTATATAGAAGTTTAAATTACCGGGTAGTAATAATTTTAATTTTAATCTTGTAAGAGCTAATGATTTGAGTTGAAAATTTTATTTGGACTAATGATTCTTAGACCCATAATTTTATGAGTTCGAGTTATACGCTACTAATAAATGTCGTTAAATTAGTAGTGTTTGGGTCCAAAAAATATTATCGTTGATGTCAGAGCACGTACTAATCTGATGATTCAATCCGATACGATCTTAGACTTCATAGACATTTGAATCTAATTTGTGATTGTGTGACATGTGAGACCTTCGTGAGAATTGAATCACGAAAATTGTGATACTCTAATTTCATAACGAAAAATATATATCGTATGGTGTAAATATAAATTTCAAAGTGATTCTAATTTCGGGCGGAGTCCTCTTTCGTCTTTTTATATTCTGTATTTGTAGACGAATGCATTCATCAACTTCAAAAAGATTGTTTGACGGAGTCGTATGTCTGGTTCTGAGTATACATGCCAATGTCTTTTACTTTCCTCTTCTGGACAAACATCCAACACTCACTTCTGAACTTAATTAAAGCAAATATTACAGTTTCCTAATTCGTTCACCTTCTCCTTTTACCTTATAATTAGTGCACTGTTGGTTTTCTTTACAAGCTAAGTAGTTTATTTTTATTTTTTTAAAAAAATTAAATAATAATCTAGAGTTTATTTCATAAATTCATACTTAATTTTATTTAATAACTTATAAATTGTATCCACGTGGAATTAGATTATAAGTTATAAATTTTAATATAATTTTAAATATATTAATTTATTGATTCATTAGTGTTCGTAGACTACTTCATAATCATTAGGAGTAATAGTGATATAAAGAATATATTTCAAGAATTCACAAAAATAATCAGAAATTTAAAAATTTAATGTGATCTAGTAGAATCTGATTTCATCGAAGAAGATTTAGTTGATTAAGTCAATTTATTCATCATTATCTGTTTCTTTTTAAGTAGATACTGTAATCTACTCAATATATTATCTCATATTATTTTTTTTGCTCTCTTATGTTTCATATAAATACATATATGTGTATAACATTCTCTCATATATTTTATCATAAAAATCGTAACCATATATATCAAAACATGAGGGGTATGAGTCATCTTGTGCTAGTTCGCTTCTTCATCCTCCTTGGCCTTCTAGTAAACTTCAAAGTAGAAGGTTTTGGAATTGAAACTTTTACTGTTCATATAATGAATGGAATGAGTCAGAATACAGATCCAGTAAATGTGCATTGTAAATCTGGAGACAGTGATTTGGGGCTTCGCACTTTAGGACAAGGTGTTGAATTCGATTTTCGATTCAAGACTAGAGTTGTGGGAACCACACTTTACTTTTGTAGTTGGTACTGGGATTCCAAACGAGCTAGTTTTGATGTTTTTAGAGATGACAGAGAAGCACTTCATTGTGTGAAGACTGCAAATTGCTATTGGAAAGCTAGGGAAGATGGTTTTTATTTCAGTGTTGATAATTCTAATTGGGTAAAACGAAATAATTGGAATTAGTCATTATCTATATTCATGTTGATTGAATAAGAGCCTCTTTTTTTTTTAGGAAATCCGTTATAAGTATTATTAATAAAATTTTGAGTTACTAATTTCCTTAATTATCTTAATATTTACATTCATGTTAATTGTTTTATTACTGAAATAAATTGAACTATGCAATTCAGATTGTGAATCGTAATATTTTAATAACAAAGATACATTTTTGAGGTATGCACTTAATTTGAAACACCTTAGAGAAAGTATGCACAACTTTGAGTTATGTTAGTTGGTCAACTGATTCGTAATTTGTGGTTAAGTTTGAATTTTTTTGAGCTTTTAAATCTAAGATTTTTTGAATTTGTATTATGAAATTCACAATTTGTTTAGAAATCATCATCATATTTCCATTTAAACCTATTAACTTTAATGAACTCAAATTGCTAACCAACCCTAACTTTATCATGTCTCCAAAAACTTTTTAGATAAAAGACCTAAATATTAAATTGGTCTCCGTACCATTTTTTAATATTGAAATCGTCCGTATACATTTTTTTTTGTCATTATGGTCCTTGTACTTTCAAAATATGTGTATTAGTTTTTGTCTGTTAAATACTACTAACATTGTTAAGATAATAAACTGATCGAAGATCATAATTTTAAGAGGTTAGAGATTTCTTTTATTATAAGGTTGTGATTAAAGGATTT